CGACCCTGCAAAATGTCAGTGGCTCCACAAACGGCTCCCAATACATATTTCTTTATTATTTAATTTGGTTTCGGGCTCCGGTACGTACCCGGCTCAATTTCGGGCGGCCCGCTCGTGCCATTTCGCACGGAGTGTTCGTCGGGCTCTCCGGGAGCGCTCTGGCTCGCACAGAGCGCTTGGGCGCGCCTGGGAGTGCCTTGGAGCGCCTGGGCTTGGATTTCGGGCCTGCCGACGCCGCGCTCGAATCAGGCAAACCTGGCAGATTCTGGCCGACCTGGCAAAATGTCAGTGGCTCCACAAAAACGGCTCCCAATACACATTTTCTTTACTATTTGAAATGATGCTGGGCTCTGCCCAATTTCGGGCGGCCCGCTCGTGCCATCTCGCACGGAGTGCTCGTCTGGCCGCTCCGGGGGCGCTCCGGCTCGCACGGAGCGCTCGGGCGCGCTTGGGAGCGCCTTGGAGCGCCTGGGCTTGGATTTCGGGCCTGCCGACGCCGCGCTCGAATCGGGCAAATCTGGCAGACTCTGGCCGACCCTGCAAAATGTCAGTGGCTCCACAAAAACGGCTCCCAATACATATTTCTTTATTATTTAATTTGGTTTCTGGCGGTCCGCTCGTGCCAGCTCGCGCGGAGTGGTCGTCGGGCCGCTCAGGGAGCGCTCCGGCTCGATTCGGGCGACGGATCTGCGTGAGGGGTGCCGCCGAATTTCATACATGTGGCAAGTTCCCGGTGTTTTTTGACCCTGACCCTGCCGATATGCATAAGGGGCGTCAGGAAATTTCAAACATGTGGCACATCCTTTTTATTTTTTGACCCTTACCCTGCCGATCTGCGTGAGGAGTGCCACCGAGTTTAAAACATGCGGCAAATCCCTTGTGTTTTTGGACCCTGACCCCGCCGATCTGCAGTGAGGGGTGCCACTGAAGTTTAGACATGCGGCAAATCGTTTGTGTTTTTGGCCATGACCCCGCCGATCTGCATGAGGGGTGCCGTTGGATTTCAGAAATGTGGCAAATCCTTTCTGTTTTGGGACCCTGACCCCGCCGATCTGCGTGAAGGGCGCCACCGGATTTCAAAAATGTGGCCGATCCCCAATGTTTTTGGACCTTGACCCCGCCAATCTGCGTGAGGCGCGCCACGGAATTTAAGACATGTGGCAAGTCCCTTGCGTTGTTGGACCCTGACCCCGCCGAAACAACAAACAAAAATAACCTCTTCCGAGTCAGGAGGTTTTCCGGGGGCTGTCCGGGAGGTGTTCAGAAATAGTAGTGTTTTTTTTTGCGCGGGGCTTAGAAACTGTACAAAAACCTAAACACATCAGAGTTGAGAGTATTTTCGGGTGTTGCGCTGTGCTTAAGAAGTCGTACTGTTTTTTTACCTAACAGCGAAGACTGATAAGTTTCTAGTGGTGTCAAAAGAGAGCATCTGATGACTCAGAAGGGAGGTCTGGGCGGCATCCGGGGAGCTGTGTCCGAACTCGTGTCCGAATTCGTTTTTCGCAAACAGTCATACACTTCGTTCTCTTCGACCTCCCAGAACTCCATTCCCGGGCCACATTCTGAATGCCCGAAGCCAACTGTAGGCCACTTCGTGCTCTACGACTTCCCAGAACTCCACTCCCGGGCCACATTTTGGATGCTCGGAGCCAACTGTAGGCCACTTCGTGCTCTTCGATTTTCCAGAATTGCATTCCCGGGCCACATTTTGGATGCTCGGAGCCAACTGTAGGCCACTTTGTGTTCTTGGACTTCCCAAAACACAATTCCCGGGCCACATTTTGAATGACCGGAGCCAACTGTAGGCCACTTCGTGCTCTTCCACGTGAACTCAACTCCCGGGCCGCATGTTGAATGCCCGGAGCAAACTGTACGCCACTTCGTGCTCTTCCACTTCCCAGACTATCAAGACTCATCATCTCCATCATCATCATCGTCCCCGTAGCCTTCTTGGCTACAGCCCTGCTTTCGAAGATTTCCTTTCAAAGGAAGTGCGCATCGCCTACTGCACACCTTAATGCCAGGACGTGCTGATAGTTCTGCGAACACCACTGCGAATCCGAGTGCGGCTGCGAGAACCGAATGCGACTGCGGGAACACCAGAATTCTACAACAGCACTCTTACATGAATACCGCGGGCAATGTTTCCAGCTATGCTTCTACACATCGCTGTTCGGTTGCTTTGCCGGGGTATTTTTTCTGTGGGCCCCCAAAATTCACGAAGCAACTACAACTTGGGAGCGTTTCGGGGGTAGTCCGGGGGGTCTTTCATAAGTAAGTTTAGTTTAAATTGTGGGGCCCCAGAGCGCCCGAAAAACAGCAGAACAATTCCCGAGTTGGAGGCTCCCCAATGTTTTCCGGAGGGTTCTTAGGAATATTATTGTTTCTCTGTTATGGGGACACAGAGCCCTCGCAACCAGCAAGGAAAACCTCAGAGTTGGAGGGCTTTTCGGTGGTTCCCCCCCATCGGAAAACCTTTCGAACAATTCCAGAGCTGGGAAGTTTTTCGCAGTTTCCCCCCCCCCCCCCCCCCTCCTCCCCCCCCCTTCTGAAGTTACCGAAACAATTTCAAAACCGTCGCGTTGGGAATGTTGTTTCGGGGGTTGTCCGGGAACGACTTCAGACACAGTTTTGTTTTGAATTGTGGGCCGAGAAACCTTAGAACAACATTCGGGTTGGGGGGGTTCCGGGAGATTTTCACACATACTATTGTTTTTTATTGGGCCCCCGGGGGGTCCTGGGGGTCTCCAAACATAGTATTGTTTTCAAGTGTGAGGCCTCCGAATTTTTGGAAAAAAGCAGAAACAAACACAAAACAGTTGGGAGGTTTTTCGGGGGGGGTCCCCTGCTGGAAAAACCGCTGAGAAACATCATGATCACAAATCACAAAAAACAGTTCCCGAATTGTTTTTTCAATGTTTTTCCCGGGCGGCTTTCTGAAATAGTCTTGTTTTCAACTGCGGGGCCCCAGAACCCCCGACAATTCACCGAAAAACATTCGAGTTAGAACGTTTTTTTCGGGGGCTCCCTTTCCCGGATAAAAACTTGAACAACCTTTGGAAAGACAAACCCGAACAAACCCTTGAAACATGCCGAGTTGGGAGGTTTCCCAGAGGGTTTTCTGGAATAGTAATGCTTTGAGTTGTGGGACTCCAGAACCCCGAATAACTCCCGAGTTGTTTTTTTTGGTGTTTTTTATATTTTTCTTTTCGGTCCCCCCGCGGAAAACTTCAGAAAAAAACACGATACAAAAACACCCAGTTGAGTTGTTGTTCGGAGGTTCCCCTCCCCGGAAAAAACTATTGAACAACCATTGGAAACCACCGAGTTGTTTTTTTTGCCCCCCCTCCCCCCTTCCCTCGGAAAAAACATTAGATCATCCAAATGAAAAGCGTCAAGTTGGGTTTTTTTTTGGGGGGGGGCTTTCCCATCAGAACAAACGAATGAAAAACCCTTGAGTCAGGGTTTCCCAGGGGGGCTGGCCCGAATTGCCATGTGAAGGGGTTTGCCCGATCGCTCCTGGGAGCACACCGAAAAACCAACGAACAAATCTTGAACATGTTTTTTTTGATTGGGGGAATTAGGAAAACATTTTTTTTTTGAGTGTCGGGCCCCCGGCCCCCCCCAAAAAGCCCTCAAGCTCCCCTCCCCTCCCGGTGATCCGGGGGGGAAAACCTCCGAACAACCTCCCAACTCGGAGGATTTCGGTGGTTTCCCAGGGGGGTCCTGGGAACTCCCACACCTGTCTTTCGCATTCTGTTTTCCAGAGGTTTGACATTCTCAGCGCTTGCGCGGATGGATTGCGGGTGTCTTTCGATGCCTTATCCCCCCCCCCCAGGCTTGCCCGTGAGTGCAACCACTCACTCAATCGTGGAATTTCAACCAGCTGCGCGTATGGAGGAGATTTTTTTTCTGGCAACTCGTACTCTCGCCACTGTGTCGCGAGCATGCTTCTTGCAGTTCCCACCAGCTCGATGGGTGGGGGGTGGATTGCGCTTTGCTGCGATGTGCAGTTGAACGTAATCTCCCATCACTGTTTCACGCTGCCAGCCTGATTAGGTCGTCGCCATTCTCTGCCACGCCACTTCCTGTGGAATGGCCATGCTTTCTGACTTGACCAGCCTCGCGGAGTTTGAAACTAATCGTTTGGGCCACCCCAGAGCGCCACCATTCCATACCTCCCCAGGTCCTCAACTTGCGGCATGCCCACGTGGCGCCCTCACCGTTCCAACGTGCGTTCACCATCGTGCACGGGAGCACTTGTAGGATGTTCGTTCTGGAGGAGGGGACTTGGGACCGCAGGGTGCGCTGCAGCATCGGTTTTCTGTGCTGGGTGTACCGTGGACATAGTCGTCTTCCGCTTGATCCTACTGCTGCTGCTGCTCCTCCGCTCCCTTCTCTGCCCCACCGCCCCACGTTTCGGCCTGAGGCGGACCGTGTGCTGGCCGCTGCAGCTACGTGTTTTTTGTTAAACAGTGTTAGCCAGCGTGGGCCACACACAATGAGTGATCGCACTGTGCAGGTGGAGTACTTGCGGAACACGCGATGTCGTGTCAGCTAAGTGGCGTGTGATACGCGGCGTAAGCTACGTGGTGTGAGTTATGTGGTGTTACCGATGTCGTGTAAGCTAGGCGTGATGTGAACTATGCAGTGTAAGCTATGCGGTGCGAGCTATGTTGTGCACAAGATGCAACGTAAGCTGTGCGGAGTAATCTATGTTGCCCACGCGCGCCCACGAGTCGCCCCCCTGGGTGGGGACCCACCGAGTGCACGGGGCGCCCGCAAGCGCCCACGAGGCGCCCTCGGGGGAGCTCGGGGCGCCAACGTGGCGAATGCTCGGTGGACCCGTCCAAGTACGTAAGGAACCCGAGGCGAGAGCCCTTTCGCGCAATCCAACCATTCAAACTTACAGCTCCTCTGCTCCCTCTTCGCGCCGCTTCTCTTTTCGACCCTCCGCCGCCCCCTGTGATGGGAAGGGGGTCTCCCCCCCCTCCTCTCAGGGCGACTGTCGGCAGTCCACGTTCCTGCCGAACCCAGCCGAGGTGGTGATCAGGCTCCCGGGCGAAGGTAGTTTTGTGGAAAAGGTGGGCTTCACGTATTCGCCGTGGGACAGGAACTACGGCCGCGTCTGCCAAGTCTGCCTGTCGGCGGACGGCGAGGCGTGGACGAACGCGGGTGAGGTGCAGATCCCGTACGGCAGCGAGCGCGGCGACCCCAGCAGGGAGAGCACAGCGACCCTCTTCGTGGACGTGCCCGCGGCCATGCGGGAG